ACTGGCCGTCGAGGAGGCAGTGCAATGCCAGTCTCCTTTTCTGTTGTTGCCGGCTTTTTCAAGGTCGGTAGCTGAAAGCGTTTCCTTGCCGCGCTACCGCCGGAATTCTGCTTTTCGACCAGTACCTCCTCCATATCGCCACCCAACAAATTCGTCTCGATGCGCGGCCTTGCGTCATAGGCGATGGCTGCGCTGCGCTTCAGGTCGGCAGTGATCATTTCGTGAACCTTTTTGTTCACGTCGCCCTTCTCGATGGGAACCCATGGCTTTGGTATTGATGCGAGGATCGTCTTGTTGAGATACAGTCGCGTCGCGTAGATGAAGGATACGATCAAAGTGGTGAGGACCAGAGCGGCGGCAATGATCCATATGTTATATGGCTGGTTGTTCGAATAGGCCTGGTAGATGGTATCGCCCGGTGTAACGAGGAGGAGAAGGGCGAGGAGGAAGCATAGGACGAAGTAGAAACTTCCGTATATAAAACGGAATATCGCTCGTGGGGAGAACATCGGGGGCGATTCGATAGGGTTTCCCAGCGTTGAGGATTCAACCCGGGAAGCGACGAGAATTCTGGTTGAGGATCATGGACCGACGGGCCAGTGCATGAGGTAATGTGGCAATCTGGAAAAGCATGGCTGGGCGGAGGAAAAAGCCTATGCGAAGAGGTAGAATGTATCTGTAGCTAGGCTAAGAAGAACAAGTGTGAAGTCTAGACATTACATAGGAGAAAGAAAAGAGTATAGTACGGTAGAGGGAGAGAATGGAGGTTGGTGAATATGTAAGTAGACAAGAAAAAGGTGGAGGTTGCGCACGCAGATGCGTGAGGGTGACGACGAAGAGGATGACGGACGGGGGAAGCGAGAGGTTGGTTGGGGGGCTTTCATTTTGTTTTAGCAGTGTCTTCCCGGCCACAAAGCAACAAAGCTCAAGTGGGGGTTCCTCCATGCGGACCCCTGCTGTTTTTAGGTAGGCTTTCTATGCTCAAATCAAAAATCCGGTTTAGCGGCACCAGCGGGTGGGCGGCAACGGGCACTAACCTTTTTACATTCCAGGCGCCCAAAGACAGACGCACAATGGGATGGGACGGAATGGGAAGAGAGGGGAGTCTTCGGAATGGAGGAACCTATTTTTCACCTGCAGTGACGCCGCGTTGGCTTTGGGAGAGGCATGAGTCCCATGACTAAGGCAAGGTAGCGTCTTCTGTCTTACACGTGCGCCAGTGCCCAATCGTGGACTACCAATTGACTCGTATCATTGCTCTCGACTAGCTCAAACCGATGAGCTGACGCAGGCATGGCCGGTTCGTGCGCCTCACTTAACATGTGATGAGACTGTCGGTCAGCCCTTCTATTGACACAATCATGATTGTGCTGCAATGTTTTACTGCCTCGTGAAATCTAACTATGATACACGTCGTTATGCCGTTATGCGTGTGCCTGTTTTGCCTACCAAACGCCCCTCACAATTTACGGTTGTACCGTGACACCACATATGCCAAAGCCTGTGACTAGCGGGCTTGCTGCATCTCGGGTCCTTGGGATCTGACTTCACTCGTGGGAAGTGCCTGATGGGCTGCCGCCTCCTTGGCCAGTCTGATATCCGTGCGAGTCAATCTCAAGTCGCTGCTGTATCGTTCAAACTCCGCAATCACCTGGGCCAAGCCCGTCTTCAACGCTGCAATCACTGCTTCCACCTCAGGCGCAGCTCTGTCCTTCTCAATATCGGTCCAGTGAACAGGAAAACTGTCCTTGAATGCCTCAATCTTGGTGATGACAGTTGTAAAGGTGCGGATGATGGTAGGAACATCCTTTTGTACCCTGCCGTAGTTATCATCATTGAGACTGTGAACGGCCAACAAGCTGAGCACATCAACAGCGTTGACGTACTGGCTCAGCTCTGAGTACGGCGTTCCGAGGATAACGGCGGTGAGGCGGTTGCGGAACTCTTGGCGGAATATCCAGCCAACGTACTCGTTGCCAATAACCTTCAGAGCCCATGTCTGGAACTGGTTCATCAGTTGAGGGGAAGACAGCGCCTCTTGCTGCTCCTTGCTCAGAACCTTGTCACGGGCCTCGCGCAGCGTCTTCTTCGCAATAGGGCTCAGCTGCGACACTGGTGAATGGCCGGGGTGGCTTCCCACCTGGGTGAGGGCCTTTTCCAGCTCGCCGCGCATCGTCTTGTTCGCGGGCTTGCTAGTGAAGATAGGGTCCTCCTTCAATGGCGCTGAAGACCGAGCTCGGACTTCCGCAGTTGGCGCTGGGGCAGCCGGCACAACCGCGGGCTTTCCGTACTGGTCGATTCTTTGTTCAATATTCTTGATGGTAGTAAGGCAGTAAACGAATATCTGAGACCACGTAGAACCATCTTTACGGTCGATATCCATGAAGATGGCCTTGCGTCTGCCTTCTTCGTTGCGAGCAATGTATGCCAATTCCCAGAGGGCAAAGCACTGTCACTGTTAGCTTGAGGATCGGTATATGCTGCCTGGTTGTACACTTACCCGAACGGAGTCCTTCTTGCTCTTAAGTCCATTCAGAAGACTGCCGTTTGGATCCTTGGATTCACTCGTGAGAGGCTTGCCGTTCTTGAGAGGCGCCTTGACCATGAACGTCGAAAACGCATGGTTGGCTGTCTTCCAGATGGCGGTGATCAGGAAGCCAGCAACGGCGCATCGGTACATCAAGTAGATGTCTCCAGGCCACTGAGGCGGTAGCATGTTGGTTTTCGGTAGATTGTAGAAGGGTCGCAAGAAGAACAAAGCCCAGGACCAAAAGAACGATCGCAATGCCATGAAATAAACCACTCCGGCGACAATAGTGATGCTGATACTTCTGACGCCAGACTGGATAAGGATCGCAGGGACTTCGCCCAAGACCTTATTCAGCGAAGCATCCCCGGAAACCTTGACTTCGCCTCCCTCGGACCGCGCGACATCGATGATGAGCTTGTCTTGGTCTTGGTAGAAGTGGAAAATCGACTGAACAGCGGCGCTGACGGCCATGTAGCAGAAGAAAATCAACGTTCTCTCGTTAACGCGGGCGCGGTCCCCACTATAGTATGTGACCCATCCCAAGTTGGCGCTCTCCGGCAGGGCCCAGAGGTAAACGTGACTGAATAGCGCGCTCGAGAAGCCGTAGAAGAGGAAAGCCTCGAGAGTATGAATGCTAAAGAAGAATTGCGCGAACGCGTGGAAGGTCGAGTTGGAGACGCGGGCGCCGACGTGGTACTGGGCAATGCGCAGGATCAAGATCGAGAGACCGCAGGTGAAGAGAAACAGTGTTCGAAAGCCCGCGGGGCCAATGGGGAACCAAGACCAAAAGTCTTAAGAGAGGCTGGTTAGTTGCAAAGCTCTGCAAGCTTGCATCTTCAAGGGCCATCACTCACAAGAGCTCCAACCCGAGAGAAGGATGGCTTGCAAATAGGAAATGGCAAGCAGAATAGTAGCGGTAGAAGAAAATCGCCTGTGCAGCGCAGGCTGCAGAAAGTCCTTATACGGAGCCCTTCTGACTGTTGCCGGTGCCATGCTGATGGTGCATGGTCATCGAGACCGAATGTTTTGGAGGGTGAGGTTTGGCGAGGCTGCACTGGGACTTGTGCCGCGGCCAGGATCTGGAAGTAACTGATGTAAAAATCTCCAGTACAACAACATGCAGCTCCCGCTTGAGCTTGCTTGAGGTCCAGGGGACCCGCCCTGCACACGGACTAAGCCACATGTGTCACGTGGAGATAACACAATCAGGCACCACTATTGCGAACCGGAGCTGATTGGACGCAAGGTGGCGCCCTTACGTAGTGTTCCAGCCACAGCCGACGACGACATGCAGGTTCCTGACCATCATTACGAGTCTATCTTCCTCAGACATCCTGACTGATACTTACTGGTCAAATAAAAACATCCGTGATTCAAAACGGCGCCGTTCCTTTAGTCCTCTTCATTTGTGAATACTTTGCCCTCGAAATCGCAATCATGTCGTACGACCAGCTATCTTCGCTCGAAGCCGGCCGATCGGGTCGTCAAGGCGGATACACCGACGATCCCGAGTTCAAGCAGCTTCAGTCCCAGTTGACCAACAAGATCTTCAACCTGCGCCGCAACATCCAGCAGCTGACTACCGATGTCAACATTCTGGGAACGAAGCGCGATACACCTCGTGTTAGAGAACGAGTTCACGATCACCTCGAGAAGACCCGCGACCTGTGCAAGGAGATTGGAGATGGCGTCAAGAAGCTCCAAACGTGGGACGATCTGACGGTTCGTACTCTACAGACTACTTGCGCAAGGCCTTGTGCTAATGAACCATGTGCATAGAAACAACAAAAGTACGACCAATCCAGAATCTCGACCGACTTCCAAAACGTCCTGCAAGAGTTCCAGGACATCCAGCGCAAAGCACTCGAGAAACAACGAGCGTCCGTTACAGCGGCGCGCGCAGCCACCGAAGGCGAGGGAGCTGATGCGGCGGCTGGATCCGAGGAGCGCCTCGAGCTTCAACAACAGCAGGAGGTCAGCCGCCTGGCATCACAGGACGAAGTGGACTTCCAGGAAGCGCTCATTGTCGAGCGTGAAGAGGAGATCCGAAACATTGAGCAGGGTGTCGGCGATCTCAATGTATTGTTCAGACAGGTGGCTCAGATTGTGACCGAGCAAGGCGAGCAGCTTACTTCCATCGCGGATAACGTGGAAGATGTGAGGGACGATACCCGGGGCGCTCAAATAGAGCTCCGCCAAGCGGCGAGACACCAGAAGGCGGCTCGCAACAAGGGGTGTTGTCTGATGCTCATCCTGGCAGTCATCCTCACCATTATCATTCTCGCAATTGTATTGGACTAGCACGGCATGGGGGGTATTGGGGGTTTCTTTATTTGATTGCTGCTTCTACATTGGCGTTTTGGTGGCGTTTCGCGAATATTGTACATCAGGCGCCCAAGTACAGCTGAGGATACAATCTGGGACAGCGTTTCTTCTTTCTCTATCATCGCCATGACTTTTCTCCCCAAGACTACACGCCCCGCAAGTGAAAGCGCTCGTAATGAGGGGACGGCCTCCAAGGGTCGTGTTTGCCGCGTACTTTGTCCATAATCTTGACAGAGATCTGGGAGAAGATCATTGAAGAAATCCAGTAGACAAATATGCCTGCTGGCAAGTTGATACAAAGTGCGGGAATTAAGACTGCCGTGAGAAGTAGACCTCTTTGGAGGCGAATTCGCCATCTCAGACCCGGAGGCACATTCTGCTCAGACGTTGAAAGGTTGAATACATACTTCCTCATTTCGCCTTTTGGCATCGTTAACCAGCCCAGAGTGCCCATCAGCATAGCAGGCAACAATATTGTTGGATCGGCTACCGTGAGGTCGGTAAACCATAGCACGCCACCATTTGCCATGCCTTCCGCAACATAGCTTAGTGAATCCAGGTTGCTAGATACAGCATCGGCAGACGAAGAAGCTGCTGTTGATGCCTGTTCCGACACGGAAGTCGAGGCGACACCGGCTAAAACCTCCTGGTTCTTGTAGTTGCCAGTGAGCAAGGATAGAAGTCCGCTGTTTGCACCACAAAGACGCCTCAGAGATTCAGACATGAGATACCATATGGGCAGGCCGAGTGCTGGGGCCCAAGTCTTCCAGTTCTGGGCCCCCAGCTCTTTGAGCATTCGTTTCCGAATCTTGGCTAGTTGTATGGCCCTTGAGAGACGGGTCCCACGAATTTCGTGACTCCAGGCGGCCATAAATGGTGCGATTTCTCCCTGTCTTTCAACGACGCGTCTGGCATAGTACTGAAGCGGCGCTCTGCACAGAGAGATGAGCAAGGCCGAGAACACGATGGTGCCTGTCCAATTCCCCGTCGCGTTCATCGAGTGCAACGAAACGACTACTTGTGAGGTAGCTTCGACGCTGCTGTTGACGAGCCCGCCTAGACTGAAGTCTCTGGCACCGATTGCTCGCTGAGGTGATCGTGCCGTCCTCGAGACAAGGTGTGGGCGAAGAGAGGCAGTTAGTGGCCTTGCTGATGAGAAACCGATGGATTGGCGCAGGCCGGGTGTGATGGCGCAACGCGCCGCTCTCAGGGAAGCCATGATGAGATGCTTATATGTCCATCAAAGGGCATGAGAAGGTGCACTTTCTTCGAAAACTTGCGGCGCAAGATAGTGGCCCTTGAAGCGAATGATGCGGGCTGGGCAAGGGTCGTCAGAGAGCTGAGGCTAGATTTTGTCAATAGTTGATCATAAGAATATCTGAGTTGACATTGGACGTTCAGTGGTCAATCGAGAGCAGCACCAACGGGTTGGTGCACGGGCCATTTGGATCCAACGGGCGCGGCTTGAGCGGATCTCCAGCTTGCCCGGGGCCGGAAAAGACCTGGACCCTTTAGAGGTGGGGGTCAACTGCCCACTGTAATCGTATCGCTGCAGCTTCCCCCGCCCCATTTTCTAGCTTGCAGTACAACCTGGCCAGTTTGTGAGTCCCCTACCTCACCATAGCATCCCACGACGTCAACGGGCAATGCTGAAGCTGGACTTGACCGACGCCCCCTTCGGCTTCGACTAGCCCTCTTTTTTCCACCTCGACACCACCACCGGATTTCGAGTTCGACGAAACAAAAACAAAACCTACTCCTACGAATCTTGCGATCCCTTCAACCCCGATGCCCGAGACCTGCTCAGCGCCGTCTGGGCAGACGCCCTTCTCTTTTGGCCTCGATCCCTGGACCCTAGCCTACGTTGTTGTGCCGATCATCGCTTTTACTCCGATCGCGACCTACATCATGTTTCCTCTGCTGATGAAAGGCATTGGTTCCCTGCTGGGATGGTACCTACGAAAAAAGACGGAGGGGAGGAGAGCACAGCTCCTAGAGCTCAAGACTGCTGAGCAACAGTCATTCGAGAACACCCAAAAAAGCTCCAGCAGCGGGAAGAACAATGTGCAGGCACAAGCTTCGGGAAGCTCTGAAAAGAAGGACTCGGAATGGACTGGGGTTGTTGGCTTCTTCCACCCCTTCTGGTACGTCGAACAACTGTGAAAGTCGCCAAAAGACAGTCACTAACAGCACTCAGTAACGCTGGCGGAGGAGGAGAGCGAGTCCTTTGGGCTGCGATCAAGACTACCCAGGAGAGATATCCTAATGCGCTATGCGTTGTGTACACTGGCGACCATGAAGTGAATAAGCAGGCCATGCTTGAGCGCGTCAAGGTTTGTCTCCCACAACAGAACCCCTCTTTCCTCATACTAACGATATGTCTCAGACCCGGTTCAACATCGACCTGCATCCCCCGACCATCAACTTCCTCTACGTCAGCACAAGACACCTCGTTCTGGCCTCGACATGGCCTCACTTCACCCTCCTTGGACAGTCGATTGGATCTGTAGTGTTGGCATGGGATGCCTTCCAGCTCCTTGTCCCTGACATCTTCATTGATACTATGGGCTATGCCTTCTCTCTGGGTCTGTGCAAGTTGCTCTTCCGCAGAGTTCCTACTTGTGCCTATGTCCACTACCCGACAATATCAACTGACATGCTGGAATCACTGGACCCCAAGGCCGAGACTGGAAGCCAGGGCGTCAACGCCGGCAAAGGCGTTGGTATCCGAGGCAAGGTCAAGAAGTTCTACTGGAAGATGTTTGCGGCCTTGTACTCCCGAGTTGGATCTACCGTTGATATTGTCATGACGAACTCAACCTGGACGCAAGGTCATGTTCAGAAACTCTGGGGCCCCTACCGTCAGGCTAAGGGAAGAAACAACCCTATCGCTGTTAACTTCCCACCTTGCGCTGTCGAAGAGCTCGAGGAGGCAGTAGAGGTATCGGAGGCCAGTGAGCGGAAGCGAGAGCAGGCTTTGGTCTACATTGCCCAGTTCCGCCCCGAGAAGAACCATACCCTGGTCATCCAAGCTTTCGCCGACTTCCTGAACACCAAGTCCGAAGCCGCCAAGGACGCGAAGTTGGTCCTCATTGGTAGTGTCAGAGACGACCACGACTCCAAGCGGGTGTATACATTGCGCCTTTTGGTGAATGAGCTTGGCATTAAAGACCGCGTCGAGTTTCACCTGGACGCTTCGTGGCCCGAGATCTTGGACTGGCTACAGAGGGCTTCTGTCGGTGTCAACGGCATGTGGAACGAGCACTTTGGCATTGGCGTCGTCGAGTACCAAGCTGCTGGTCTGATTTCCGTTGTCCACGCCAGCGGTGGTCCCAAGCTGGATATCGTCATCGAAATCGACGGCCAGCCCACTGGTAAGTGTTTATCTAACCTGTGCGATGAAGATGAAAACTAACCAGCTAATAGGTTTCCACGCTACGAATATCAAGGAGTTCGCTGAGGGCTACGAAAAGGCCCTCTCTATCAATGATCCGCTCCCTGTTCGCCTCCGCGCACGCCGGTCAGCCAAGCGCTTCACCGAGAGCGAGTTTGACGAGAAGTGGATCGCCCAGATGGAGAAGTTGGTGGCCATGACGCCCTAGATGCATTCTTAACTCTTGCTTGTATTTCTATATGTACTTTGATAGACTCGAGGATACCCCTTTCCTTCAGATAACCTCAATAAACCTGGCTTATGTTGCATATAAAATCTCATCATCTATCGTAAGCGTGACATATCATCTAAATCATCTACACCACAAATGCGCCACTGTTCTTCTGCCGCGGCTCGCTCGCGGCCTCGAACACGCCGTCTTCAAAGATGATGCCCTGCACGGCGCTGCGGCCCTCGGGCACCCACGTCACGTCATGGCCCTTTTCGAGCATGCTGGCGACGGTGTCGTTGTCGAAGGCGTACTCGAACGTGACGGTGTTGGGCATGAGCTGGTCGTGCAGGCGGGGCTCGCGGAGGGCCTGCTTCATCGTCTGGCCGTGCTCGAGGACGTGCCAGGTGACTTGGGCCGTGGAGCTGATGATGCGGGAGCCGCCTGCCGCGCCGACAGTGACGTAAAGGGAGCCGTCTGGGTGTTCTACGATGACGGGGGTGATGGAGGAGAGGGGACGTTTGTTGGCGCGGACGAAGTTTGCCGGGGAGGGTTCGAAGCCGAAGGCGTTGCGGACGCCTGGGATTGAGAAGTCGTTCATTTCGTTGTTGCTTCTGGGTTGTTAGGGATAATGAAATCCACGGTGAGATGGGATATATAGGGGAAGGGGAACTTACAGGATTACACCGGATAACGGGTCCATGATTTGAGCGCCAAAGAGGAGGTTGACGGTCGTGGTGAGGGAGGTGGCCATGCCAGACTTATCCGCCGTGACGATATGCGACGTCCCGAATCCTTCGCTCGAGTACACGCCCTGCGGATCATATCGCTCAACCGGCTGCGTCTGGTTATCCAGGATCTTACCGCGGATATCCTTGGCCGTGGCCTCGTCAATGAGGGTATCCTCAAACGGCCCTATCCCTTCCACAAAGTCCGGGTCGCCGAGCAGTGAACGGGCGCCATAGGCGAAGCGCATGGCCTCGTCGAAGCGGTGGACGCCAAGCTTGGTGTCAGCGGACTCTGCCGGGTCGAACTGCTCCATGATTTTGAGGGTGTTTAGGCAGACGGCGCCGCTGGCGGGGGAGCCGACGGAGGTGAGGCGGTGGCCGCGGTAGGTTATGGAGAGAGAGGGCCGGGTGACGACCTTGTAGGAAGCGAGGTCGTCCAAGGTGAGGGTTCCGTTTGTGGCGCGGACTGTGGCGATCATGGACTCTGCTATGGGGCCGGAGTAGAAGGCTTCTGGGCCTTCTTCTGCGATCTTGGCGAGTGTGCTGGGCGTTTTGTCAGTTTCTAAGATTTCCGGGAGATGTGTAAATGTGTGAGGCTTACGCTCCGTAGCGTTTGCGATAGATGGTATCACCTAGTTGGAGGAGTGTGCCTGTCCAGTGTCAGTTCACCTCGTTCTAGTCACTTACAATCGGAGACTGTTCGAGACTCACCGTTGGGAGCAAACTCCTCCGCCCACACCGGATCTTCAACAAGAAAGTTCCACTGCCCTTTAATAGCGGCGTCCATGTACCGTACCAAGTCCGAAGACACTCTGAAACCCGTAGTCGCCAACCTCGCAGCTGGAGTAACGACACTTTTCCAAGGCAGACTCTTAAAGATGGCCAAGTCAGTAAGAAGGACCTTTAGTCTTCTTCAAAAGCTTTTCACTTACACCATACTTCTTGTGGATATATTCCAACCCACGAACCTCACTCGGCACGCCGACGGCCAAGCCGCCGTAAACACTGCCCGCAATGTTGCCCTGGTACATATCCTGGAACGCGGCAGCCGGCGCAGCCTCTCTAAAGTCCACAGACTCATAGTTCCCATCGGCATCTCTGATGACGACGAAGCCGCCGCCGCCGATGCCGGAGTGGTACATGCCTACGGTTCCAACGCAGAACGTCGTACCGACCAGCGCGTCTACGGCGTTTCCCTATATGCGTGTCAATTCTTGTGTAACCTTACTCTGATATTATAAAAAGAAGGTGAGAGAAACACATACACCTTGCGCAAGTAGGTCACGGCCAATCCTGCTGCATTCAACCGATTCACTTGCAACGGCACCAGTGTCGCCAGCACGAGGGTCAAAGACGAATTCCGGTATCGCTGCGGCCGAAACCGAGCGGAATTCGGCCAGCAAGAGCAGAGAGGCTGAGTAATGCCATATTGACTTGGGAAACGTCTCTGTTCTCAGTTAGCCTCTTTTCATGGTACTCAGGAGATGCTGATCTCTTCTACTGGATGGGATGAACTCACTCATCTTGGATAGGTGGTTACGTTCTGAAGGCCGGACGGCGGTCTGTGGACTCCAACACGGGACGGTACCTCCGAGACCCAACGTGCTCAACGGCCGAAACTCCGATAAGAGATAGCGGAAGGGATGACTGAGGTAAGCAACTCTCAGCGTTGCGTCTTTTATCTACCTCGAAAAAGAAGCCTCCTATGCCCAACAGATCACCAAGACAAGAGAGAGGGTTGTGAGTAAGCTGGAGGCATTAAACGCCGTAGTCGGGGGAGGGCCATGACTTATTACTACTGGGTCCCCGGCGATTGCGACAGACCAAGTCGCTATTACCAACTTGGTCCCAGTCCCAGATCCGGCAGGCACAACTGATAAGCGAGTTCTGGGGTCCAGTGTGGGCCATACTAACTCAGGTAGCTAAGTACCTACTCAGTAAGATACCTCAAGGTGTGGTGGCACTTGGTGGGCGAGTGACAATTGAAAGTGTGCCGCATGATAGCGGTCATGCTTGGTGCAGCCCCACACCGCGTCCCAGGGACGCCAATCAGCGACGGGCGAATTAAGTAATTCTCAGCAACCTTGAGATGGCCGACAACTTTTTTTCACAGGTCGCATGTCACAAGCTTCAACTTCAAGTGTTGGACTTTCATACTCTCATCTTACACCAAATTGATGCACTTTCAAGCTATACTGTGACACGGTACTCTTAGCGGGTCATCTTGCCTCATAATTGGTGTGTTACCAACATTGGCTTGAGGCTTTCAATGGGTTTGCCCCTACGGCTCCTTCCGAGACTCACTTCATCTTCACTCCGTCCAGCTATCAACGCCCTTACATTCACCCGGGCATCAAGCTCGGCCCCGGCAGCAGCTCACCGGCCACTTATTCGCAAGGCCATCATGTCGTCAACAATAGAGGCGCCTCAGGCGGCGGCAGCGGCACCACCAGCAGCAGCAACAACAGCAGGAGAGTCATCTCACCAAGGTCAGGGACAGGTGCAGGGTCAAAAGAAGTGGCAGAACGGCGGCAACAAGCCCAATGGCAACAAGCGTTCGTTCCAGGGCGGCCAAGGAGGCGGAAGGGGCAAGGACAAGCAGCGCAAGTCGAAGCGTGAGAGGAACATCACCGAGGGGTCGTCCGAGGAGGTCTTGGCTTTCGACGTGCAAGCTCTCATCGCATTGCGCAAGGAGTCTCTCCCCGATGCACCGGCACCGGCACCGACGGCAGGCGAGGAGGTAAAGGACACGGCAGAAAACGGAGAGACGCAGACCGAGACCCAAGCACCCTCAGAAACCCTCCCAGAAACCTTTACCGAAATCGAAGTAGAAGTCCACGCAATCTCCTCAACGGGAGACGGTCTCGGCTTCCAGCTAGGTTCGAACTCGACACAAGTCTACGTTGTCCCCTTCGTCGCACCTGGCGACATCGCAAAAGCAAAGGTCATCAGACACGTCCGTGAGGAGTCCTACTCAGTAGCCGACTTCGTCTCCGTCGTCAAGGCGGGCCCCCTCCGCGACGACGCCCGCGTCAACTGCAAGTACTTTTCCCAGTGCTCCGGCTGCCAGTTCCAGATGCTCGACTACGACACCCAGCTGGCGCACAAGCGCTCCATCGTTGACAAGGCGTACAAGAACTTCTCCAACCTGAACCCGGACCTGGTCCCGTCCATCAGGGATACCATTGGCAGTCCTCTGCAGTACGGGTACCGCACCAAGCTCACGCCGCACTTTGACGGCCCCCCAGGGCACCACAAGAGGAACAAGCCCAAGCAGGCGCTGAGCAAGGTCCCCGAGATTGGATTCAACGCCAAGGGCCGCCGTCATGTTCTGGATATCGAGGACTGCCCTATTGGAACAGACGCCGTTCGCCTGGGCATGAAGCGCGAGCGCGAGCGCATCGCCAGGGACTTTGGCAACTTCACAAAGGGCGCCACGATTCTCCTCCGCGAGAGCACGAAACGCTACCCAAAGAAGGTCATCAGCAACGGCAACACCAACACCACAGCAGCCACGGAAGAAACATCCACGACAGAGGAAGCATCGGCATCAGCAAAGGAAGAAGAACAACCCCCCGCAGAAACACCCTCCGACGCAGTCCGCGTCGAGACAGACACCCACGTAGACATCAAAACCTGCCTCTCCGCCACGGGCGCAATGTCGAGCGAGTACATTGACAACTACCTCTTCACCAACCCCGCAAACTCCTTTTTCCAAAACAACAACTCCATCCTCCCCAAATTCACCCAGTACATCCGCGACCACGTCATGCCCCCCGCCGGCCCCCACCGCGACCGCATCAAGTACCTCATCGACGCCTACTCCGGCTCCGGCCTCTTCACAATCACCCTCGCCTCCCTCTTCACGGGCTCCACGGGCATCGACATTGCCAAGGACTCCATCGAGTGCGCCCGCAAAAACGCCCGCCTCAACAACCTCCCCGAGTCGCAGTGCAACTTCCTCGCCGCCGATGCGCCCCAGCTGTTCAAGCAGGTCACATACCCGGCCGACGAGACCGTCGTCGTCATCGACCCGCCGCGTAAAGGTTGCGATAACGACTTCTTGAGCCAGCTGCTGGCGTTTGGGCCGAGAAGGGTCGTGTACGTGAGTTGCAACGTCCACACGCAGGCGCGCGATGTGGGTGTGCTGGTGCGCGGGGACGGCGGGGATGGCACAAAGTACGAGATTGAGAGTATCGTGGGCTTCGACTTCTTCCCGCAGACGGGACACGTCGAGGGAGTGGCGGTGTTGAACAGGGTCGAGAAGAGTGCTTGATCACTCGCGTACCTTACATTGATTGCATTGGAATGGTTGGGATCTCATATAACGGGAGAGTATACAAAAGTTTTGTGATACCAGCATTGGTCTAATAATTCAAAAAAGCATTAGCCACCAGAGTATAGGCGTGGCACGGGACCGTTCTCTTGAAACATATTTCCAAGTCTTCTACCGTTTTATTTCGTGATCGTCTTATTCTGTCTACTCTTGTATGAAGTCCTTCTGTCTGCACACAAAAATAGGAGACCAGGTCTTTCAGCCCTCCAATGCCCGATTGTCCTCTAGCAGAATCTTCAATGCCTGCACCAAGACCTCAACCACCTCCGCTCGCCGACTCTTCTTAGCGGCTTCCTTGAGCCCTTCAAGACCGCCTTCCTCAATAATCTTCTTCCGGGCATTGGCCCCTGGAGCACCCTCAGCAGCCACCATGTTGTAGATGATGAAACCGGCGCGGTGCCGTAAGTCCTCATTGTTATCGGCACACATGTCGAGGATGACATTGACGCCTCGCTCGCGTTCCACAATGGCTTGGACGACGTTCTCGTGGCCGGTGAGAGCTGCTAGAGCACCACCTGCTGCGCTGCGCGTGCCCTCGTCCTCGGCGTCCGCCAAGGCAAGGAGTATATGCAAACGTCCCTTTGCTGCGGGGCTGCCATCGGCATACAATGCCAGACCTTCTACGGCCTGTACGAGATTGCAGATAAGCTCAACAGCGGCCTTTGACACGCGGGGATTCGAGGAAAGTAGCTGGTCTTCGATCTGTGGCCACGCCACCCTGATGATGGCTCGTCTGGTATCAAGGTCATCGGTCGACGCGAGGTTGGTGAGCGCCATTAGCGCCTCGAACGTCGGAAGAAGGTCGCGGTGCTCCGCAACTGGGTCTGTGGGAATGATGGAAATGAGCGGGCGGATCGCAGAGCTCTGCGGGTTGGAACGACTGCCACCGAAAACAAGAGCCGGGTTGGTGCTGATGAGAATGCGCGCCAGGGCTTGCGCAGCAGTGCGACGGCCCGCAACCTCGGATTCTGGGAGCAAAGCCCACGCAGCTAAGAGAAGCTTGACAGCGCCTTGCTGAGCAAGCTTGCCGCGCAAAGATGTCGTAACTGAAAGAGAGTAAATAATAGCGACAGTGAGTGATAGTGACGCGGCCGAACCACCCTTGCTATGGGTTACTAAAACCGGTGTGACTCCAGCCTCGAAAACGCGCCGGCATCGTTCTGCCACATGGTCGTTGTCGTTGAGAGGATCGGGGCCGGCAGACTTTCCAGCAGCGGCGGCGTATGCCTTGAGCTGGTTCATCTTCTTCTCCTCCTCCGATAGGTTGGGCTGGTACCTGGTGAGATTCACCAAGATACTAAGCGCTCCGTATGTCACGGGTGATTTGGCCGGAGCGTCGGCCAACGTCTTGACAAGTTTCTTTAGGAAATCCGCGTTCCCTGCCAGCTTTTCCTTGATGGCGGGCCGGATCGATGCGTAGGCCAGCCCCTCGATAGAATGTTGGTGTCCATGGTCGTCTTCGCTGAGGAGCATGGAGGTGAACCTCGTTGAGAGCTCCTCGATGGTCGTGATTGCAGGCGATATTTTCCCTTGCCCGTCCTCATTCAGCGCCGGCGCCGTGGGCACTGCCTTCGTTCTGAAGTCAGTCAGATCTGTGATTGGACGGCTTCATGTCCGTTTGTTGATGAATACCATACCCTCAATTTCGCCAGGATTACCGCTGCCAAGTTTTGAACCTGTTCCGAGTGCTTGCGCATGGCGACGGAGCCTTCCTTGATGGAATATTCGGGGTCCTGTGACATTTCCTTGGCAATCTCCTCGGGATCCTGATCGACAACCTCCTCCAGCCACTCAGTGCAATACTTGTTCACTGCATCACGGCACTGAGAGTTCATGCATGCAGCATTGAGCATCTCCAAGCAGGCGGTCTCGACCTTGCGGCTCTTCCACTTCCGTCTCATCAACGGGCCAAGGGAGCTCAAGAAGCCCTCGCTGAGGAATAGCTCTGACGTCAGGTCAGGAACGACCGGGAAGGTGGAAGCGGCAACACAAAAGGCGACGATGTAGTCGTCATAGGTGCCCCTCTTGATCTTGTCAAAGAAGAAGTTGGAAAGCTTCTTGGCACCATCGTCGCCGGCGGCCTTGAGATAGGCGGATGTAGCGATAACGGCGTGCGCGCGAACGATCTCGGGTTGTCTCATGTCGAGATATGTCAAGATAGTGTCGACGCAATCACCATCGATGAGTTTGCATATCGTGGGGGCACCGGTCTTGGCCTGGATGAGCTGAAGATCCTCATTCAACAGCTTGGTGAGCTGGTCGAGATCGCGAATGGTTTCATCATCCTCCTGGCCGCCCTCCATTAATCGCGCAAGAACGAGAAGGGTCTCATCCTCTCTTGGAGGCGCCGTGGTGGGAGCGGAAGCTTGGGTGACGGCGGCCATTGTGGAAATTGTTCGCTCAAGCTGGAAAGCGGTTGAGCGAGCTGTGATAATGTATACTTTGGTACCACGTCAAGGTGTGTTGTTGAGTGAGTGAGGAACGGACAGACCTGGGACGGATAGAAAAAGCCTAGAACAAAACGGGGCGGAACGGTTGATATAAGTAGGTACCTTGCTTGCGGTGGTTAGGGCGGCGGCGGCGACAGCGGACTGTGCGATGCGTTGGTCACAAGGTAAGGTAAAAGGTCCGGCGATGACAGAGGCGTGAGGTGGCCGTGGAGGAGGATCTGGATAGGGTTGATTGCTAAGATAAGAAATGGCAGACGACAACCCCAAAGAGGTTTCACAAGTGAGACTTGTCACTGGTCAGTGGGTGCACGTTGATGGGCAGCCACCACCAGTGGCAGTCTGGCAGAACAAAAAAATGAGGTGAGGTGCACAGCGCACGCATTTACTGGTACCTCCGCATACCTACCTACCCTACCCACCTTGCCTACGGGGTTTAAGGTACCTAGGTAGGTAGGTAGGGTACGTACTTAGGTTGAGCCGTCGCGATTTCATACGGGACCTCTCTCGGGCTTACCTTGGGCGCCTTATTCAGTATCGCCGTGCCATCCAGAGGAAGCCCAGCCAGTCCGGGTAAGTTCAAGTACCCAGGAGTAAGGACTGGCAATGGAATGGAACCACCGCTGGCCCGTTTCTGTTCAACCGTCAGCTCCTGATACAACGGACGGGCTGACTGTTACAAAGGTGCTCCCATCTTTTTTTAGGTGCCACGGATGCCCCTCCTTGGCTACCATTTGTAGCAGACCACACCCCTCCCCTCACTGCGCGCCCTGCCCGCCCTGGCAGAAAGACTGACGACTGACTTCTACTTCGTAGAGAGACTCGTGTCACTCCCTCGAGCCTCAACCATTGGAACCCAACACTTACACCGCCCGCTGCGCATCGTCGACAGACTGGGTCTCCCCACCGTCTTTTGGCTTGATAAATAGTGTAGGTACTGCCCAGAAAGTGACTACTTACCTACCTACGTCATGCTCGAGACAGGCACATCCCACTAAGGTAGGCTTGGAAGGAACAATGAGTCCCCGTTGCAGGGGAGGAGCGGGGCGGATTGCTTGAATGTACTTCACAGGTTAGCAAGCACGCCAACAATGGCAAGTCGCTCCCACCCTCTTTCCCTACTATATACTCGAGCTTACCTCATCAAAATGGAAGCAGCTCCCCTCGAGCGGGTGCGCGTCGATCGTTTCTATCACTCAACGCGCCCCCCACGTCAGGAGCGCGCCTGAATGGAAGTCGTGCCGCTTCCCCTTCGGAGCCTCTTCCCCGTCGTCCCCGGTCCTGTGCCGTCCAATCAACTTTGGCAGGTTTCCCTGCCGTCCAGTGTGCCGGAGCACAGGCCAATTTGAAGCCCGGGGCACATGGGTTACGGATATTTCTGGATGAAAGCTAGCTTCGTTGCATCACCACACCTCACACAAACCCCTACCTGCGAGACAGAGAGGGAAAAAAAAAAGAGCAGCTTACCTTTTCTGTTGGTGAATGACACTGCGCCAAGAGACCAATTCTACCCGCTTGGCTTCAGGAAAGTAGGATCGGACGGGGTCCGAATCAAACGAGGTCCCTGGGATAGTCAATACAACCCACAGACTTCCAAAACCTCTTACAGCCAAATCGCAGATGCTCCGCCCGTGACACTCTCTCGCGACCAGGCGCCCGCCGCCCTTCGAGGCCATCGTCGACTACTACATCCTCCTCCGCCATGAACGCCGTCGACGCTTCGGACCATTACGAGGTCTCCTCGCACGAGGCCACTCCCTCCCTCCTGTCAATCGTCATCGACACGAACCCTCGAGCCTGGGCCGCCCTCAACGATGTCCTTCCACTCTCAAAGGCCATCGCCAACATACTGGTCTTCGTCAACGCCCACCTCGCCTTCAGCAATGCGAACCAGGTCGCCATCATTGCCTCTCACAGCAACCGTGCCGTATGGCTCTACCCTTCAAAGCCCGGCGCCGCGACAAACGGCACCGCAAACTCTGAAGATATCGCAATGACGGGCGTGGACTCCTTTGCGCCGACGCCAAACCAGTCTTCGGCCAATAAGTTCCCCCAGTTCGCTCAGATCGAGGCCGCCGTCATGGCCGCGATGCGCCAGCTCGTCGACGCAACCACCGAGGCCGACCTAGCCTGCACGACGACCCAGCTCTCGGGCGCCCTCACCCTCGCCCTCACCCACATCAACAAGACCTCCCTCTCCCTCAACGAGACCAACAAGGCCCCCGATGTGGCCCGCCCGACCTCCTCCGCCCTCAGCCGCCTCCGCGCCCGAATCTTCATCCTCTCCGTCTCCGACTCGGAGCCCGTCCAGTACATCTCCACCATGAACGCCGTCTTCGCCGCCGCCCATTCTCAGATCCCCATCGACACCCTCGCCCTCTCCGGCGACGCAACCTTCCTCCAGCAGGCGAGCTACATCACCGACGGCACCTTCATGCAAGCCGCCAGTCCCCGCGGCCTCCTCAGCTATCTCATGTTCGCCTACTCCGCCGA